TTCTACATAGACAGCATGTGCTCTGCCCCCACATTTCCCTTCCACACTGCCCTAGCAGAGGTTCTCCATGAATGCACTGACCCTGCAGCAAACTTTTGCTTGGGCATCCAGGTGTTTCCATACATTTGAAATCCAGGCAGAGGTTCCCAAACCTCAGTTCTTGACTTCTGTGCACCCACAGGCTCAACACCATGTGGAAGCTGCCAAGGCTTGGGGCTTCCACCCTGTGAAGTCACAGCCTAAGCTGTACGTTGACCCCTGTCAGCCATGGCTGGAGTGGCTTGGACACAGGGCACCAAGTACCTAGGCTGAACACAGTATGGAACCCTGGGTCCAGCCCACGAAACCATTTTTTCCTCCTGGGCCTCCAGGCCTGTGATGGGAGGGGCTACTGTGAAGGTCTCTGACATGGCCTGGAGACATTTTCCCCATGATCTTGGGGATTAACATTAAGCTTCTTGTTACTTATGCAAATTACTGTAGCTGGCATGAATTTCTCCTCAAAAAATGGATTTTTCTTTTTTTTACTTCATCATCAGGCTGCAAATTTTCTGAACGTTTATGCTTTATTTCCCTTTTAAAATGAAATGCTTTTAACAGTACCCAAGTCACCTCTTGAATGCTTTTCTGCTTAGGAATTTCTTCTGTCAGATACCCTAAATAATTTCTCTCAAGTTCAAAGTTCTGCCAAACTCTAGGGCAGGAAATGCTACCAGTCTCTTTGCTAAAACATAACGAGTCACCTTTGCTCCAGTTCCCAAGAAGATTCTCATCTCCACCCGAGACCACCTCAGCCTGAACCTTATTGTTCATATCACTATCAGCATTTTTGTCAAAGCCATTCAACAAATCTCTAGGAGGTTCCAAACTTTTCCACATTTTCTTGTCTTCTTCTGAGCCCTCTAAACTGTTCCAACTTCTGCCTGTTACCCAGTTCCAAAGTTGCTTTCACATTTTCAGTTATCTTTTCAGCAACGTTCCACTCTACTGGTACCAATTTACCGTATTAGTCCATTTTCATGCTGCTGATAAAGACATACCCAAGACTGGGAAGAAAAAGAGGTTTCATTGGACTTACAGTTCCACATGGCTGGGAGGTCTCAGAATCATGTTGGGAGGCAGAAGGCACTTCTTACATGGTAGCAGCAAGAGAAAATGAGGAAGAAGCAAAAGCAGAAACCCCTGATAAACCCATCGGATCTCATGAGACTTATTCACTATCACAAGAATAGCAAGGGGAAGACCGGTCCCATGATTCAATTACCTCATCCTGGATCCCTCCCACAACGTGGGAATTCTGGGAGATATAATTCAAGTTGAGATTTAAATGGGAACACAGCCAAATCGTATCAAAGACTATTCATAGAGGTTTGGTTTTTCAATCACTTCAAACTCAACATTGACCCTTTCCATAAACAACAACTGAGCAGTGTCAGGGAACATCTGTCTACTTATCAGGAGCCAAGGAAAGCCACTCAGAATCATGTGCCTTGTTTTTAGTTGACTATTGATGTTGTTCCCAGTGTCAACTCGGAGCAGCTGTTCTCACCAAAAGGCTAAAATCTTAGAGAAATTTATTTTTTCCTGGACACATTTTTTTGGCCACTGAAAAACATGTTTTAATTCACTCACCATTGGTGAATATCTTTCCTTGTTTGCATAAAAAATGAGCTACTTGGAACCTTACTTTTGTTGCAGACATTTTCATTTTTAATTTTTGTAAAGAAATTCTGCTATGATAATTCTATTTATTTATTTTGTGACAGAGTCTCGCTCTGTCACCCAGGCTGGAGTGCAGTGGCATGATCTTGGCTCACTGCAACTTCTGCTTCCCAGGTTCAAGTGATTCTCTTGCCTCAGCCTCCCAAGTGGCTGAGACTACAGGTATCTGCCACCAAGCCCAGCTAATTTTTTTTTTGTATTTTGTAGAGTCGGGGTTTCACCATGTTGGCCAGGCTGGTCTTGAACTCCTGACCTCAGGTGATCCACCTGCCTAGGTCTCCCAAAGTGCTAGGATTACAGGCATAAGCCACCGTGCTCGGCCAATTCTGTTTTAAATTTTCTAATTTTTCTAATCTTTGTGCTCAGTGAGCTGGGACTATTGTGATGAGTGCTTAGTCTAGTAATGTTGATGTTTATTATTCTTTTAGCAAAGTGACACTGTATAGCAAGAAACATATTTTGCCATGTAATTTGATGACAAAATAATACACACTGTAGTGTGCCTTAAAAGCGCGGCATTCAAAGTTCACTTGTGTTCTTTTTCTCTCTCAAAATTTTATTTAGAGATGGGGATCTAACTATGTTGCCCACACTGGTCTTGAACTCCTGGCTTCAAAATCCTCCTGCTTCACTCCTGAGTAGCAGGATTACAGGAATGAGCCACCCATGCCTGGCTTTCTTGTTTTGGCATAATGGATATATTTTTTTTAAATGTCACAGAATAGTGATACCATGGCACTCTAAACACTGTTATTACAACGATGTTACTGCGGTTTGTAGTGTGCTGAGCAGCCGGGCACAGTGGTGAGTGCACCACATGTGGTCTCTGTTACAATTACTGCACTCTGCTGTGGCAGCACAAAAGCGCTAATAGACAATACGTAAGCAAATGAGCATGGCTATGTTTCAATAAAGCTTTATTTAAGGATGCTGAAATTTAAACTTCATACAATTTTCTTATGTCATGAAATATTATTTCTTTTAAAATTTTTCCATTTAAAAGTGTAAAAGCTATTCATAGTTTGTAGGCTGTAAAAAACAGGAGTTGGGCTGGCTTTGGCCCACAGGCTTTATTACTGAACCCTATTCTAGTGTCAAAGATATGCTGAGTTCGGACCAAATATATTGTTGGTTATTTATGATTTCAGATGATACTCTTTTTTGCTGATACTTCTGGGCTGGACTACAATGGCACAATCTTGGCTCACTGCACCCTCCGCCTCCTGGGTTCAAGCGATTCTCCTGCCTCAGCCTCTGGAGTAGCTGAGGTTACAGGCATATGCCACCCTGCCTGTCTACTTTTTGTATTTTTTTTTTTTTTTTTTGAAATGGAGTCTTGCTCTGTCACCAGGCTGGAGAGCAGTCTCGCAGTCTCGGCTCACTGCGACCTCCGCCTCCCGGGTTCAAGCCATTCTTCCGCCTCAGCCTCCCAAGTAGCTGGGACTACAGGCGCGTGCCACCACACCCGGCTAATTTTTGTATTTTTAGTAGAGACGGGGTTTTACCATGTTGGCCAGGATGGTCTCGATTTCTTGACCTCCTGATCCACCTGCCTCAGCCTCCCAAAGTGCTGGGATAACAGGTGTGAGCCATCAGATGATATTCTTAAGAGTTTCTCACCCACTCTTCCACAACCAACGTGTGGCTCTTTGAAGACCCATCTATCCTTAAATAAATTTATCTGGAAAATGATTCCAATCTCATTTGTTACTTTAAGAAGAAATGAGAAAATGATTTTGTATAAATTGTACTTTCTATAATTTGCAATTAAGGAAGATTAAAATCTTTTAAAAAATTTTTATGCTTCAGAAACCATTTGTAGAAGCTAAAGTGTTAGTTGGATATTACCATTTATTATAAGTTTCTGAAATGAAGGTGGGTATAAACTTAATTATTTTGCAATTAATCTAACTGTAATATGACATATATTTCTGAATATTCAGCAACAGCTGGCATTGCAGCTGGAATTGGAAATGCAAGAAAAAGAGAGGCAGAGAATAGAAGAACTACAGAGAGCTCAAGAACAATTAGACAAGGTAATATGAAGTTTTACAAATGTCAGTTTTAAATAAAACCCTTTAAAATCTTCAGACCGTTTCTTTCAGAAGGACCATGGGATTTGTAGTCTGAAGACATGCCACATACTATTTGTGTAAGGTAAACAAGTCTCATAACCTTTTTCAGTCTCTTTACCTGTTTCAAAACTAGACCTAGCAGTATAATACTATTAGCAATGTCTCACTGAATTCCTATACAATCAAATATAATTGTTGTGAAACTTCTCTGTAAGCAGTAGAATTCTCTAGTAGTGATAAACTCAACATTTTAGTCAAGAGCTAGCTATTCCTAGTTATAGTAGCTGATGTGGAATATTGAGGATATTCTGATCTTGGAGGCAGTAGTGTATGTCTTTATGTTAATGTATTAAAACAAGAATTTGCATTTTAAAATATGTTCATACATGGACTTTCATGCCTTTCATTAAAATAAACTATGCAATAACTTCATTCTCTCTCTCTCTTTCTTTCTTTCTTTCTTTTTTTTTGACACAGACTCTCTCTGCTGCCCAGGCTGGAGTGCAGTGGCACAGTCTCACTGCAACCTCCTCCTCCCAGGTTCAAGTGATTCTCGTGCCTCAGCCTCCTGACTAGCTGGGATTACAGGCATGGACCACCACACCTGGCCTGGCTAAGTTTTTGTATTTTTAGTAGAGACAGAGTTTTGCCACATCCGGGTTGATCTCGAACTCCTGAGCTCAGGCAACCTGCCTGCCTTGTCCTCCCAAAGTGCTAGGATTACGGGCATAAGCCACTGCACCCAACCTGCAGTAACTTATTTCAAAAATGCCCATTATTCATTGGTTGCATCTGCATCATGTTAGGTCTCTAGTTTGACCCATATTTCCTGTATCCAAAAGATATTTGTCATATAGATCAATATTTTAGATGACCAAGTTTATAGCTACTATCTCTTAATCAAATATTGCTCCCCCTTTTTATTCCATAATTAAAATTGAAAAAAGAAGCAGGCTTTATAGAATATGTTGTTTATTAATGCTTAGATGAGAGAATCATTTATTAAAGCTATATTTAAAAAATATGAATAGTAAATTAAATTAAAAATTGAGATTTTTTTAAAGGATAAAAGTCCTATACATAGTTTTAAAAAGTACAGATGCTGGTGCTTAGTCTGAGTGTAGTATGAGCATAGGGATATGCCTGTATGCACACATACACAAGCGTCCCGTTTCTCTTTAAGATTCACAAAGAAATAATGTTTAAGGTGATGGATATCTCAATTACCCTGATTTGATCATTACACATTGTTTGCTTGTATCAAAATATCATCTATACATCATAAACATGTACAACTATTATATATTGGTAAAAATTTAAAGAATTTTTGAAAAAGATTCACAGGTCTAAACTGAAATAGAAAATGCAGGAACATATCAAGAAGACAGTGGTCAAAATAAGGGAATTTAAAGTATTTTTTAATCAAAGCAACCTGATAGCTACATTAAGGTGCTTGAAAGTCTAGAGTAAGGACTGGTCTCTGTTTTGTGGCTCCAGAGGGTCACACTCATGTTATTTTACTATCTCCAGGCATCATCAGCTTGCGTGACCAGAGCCACGATAACTTTAATAATTCATATTCCTACTGGATTATCATCTCACACCATAGCATAGGTACTCCCCTGCAAAGTACTGTTCCCTTGCCCATTGCTCAGAAATGAATCCATTCATGTCCTTTCCCCTGGCCTTCTTATGGCTGCAGACTCGCAATGTAAACTGTCATGTGCAAAGGGAAATTTGCTGGAAAGATTCTCGGTTTGAGGGTTTAGCACCTAAACTGTGAAGGACTCTGATGTCACTGGGCCTTTCAGACTTTGGGAGCAAGAGAATCAGATGTTACCAGGGCTCTCACTTCTGCTGTTCCCTGGTTAGTTTCATTCTTTCTCTATGGGCTGCTTTGCTGCACATGAGTGGGGAATACAGCCCTTAATGGCTTCTGAGTCTTAGAATGTTGTGGCTTCTACCATCTAAGAGGAATGGATTCCTTCTTTTGGTTTCAGTTGAGAAAAGAATCTTGGAGAAGGATTCTAACTGGCTTAATCTGTGTCAAATATCCATCCCTGTGGCGGGGGAACATGGTCCTATAAGAATATGAATGTTCCAAGTATAGCCTTGTGGATGCTGGGTAAGAAGTTACCAGGAAAATGCAACGGTCTTGGGAAAAGAGCATTTATGTCTCTCTCATTAGGGTAACCATAAAGAAATCACTCATCTTCTAGCAGCCAAAATGAATCAGCTCAGGGGCAGTTAGGCCACCCTGCTGCTTTAGAATGAAAAGACGGGTGCCATAGCAAGGTTTGGCAGGCTAGAAGAATGTTTTCACATTCAGAAAGAGGCCTCCCATGTTGGGCAGTACATTCCTACTGCAGTGCTGCGTATTAAAAAGGGCATTACTTAGCTGCTGTGGGAGGACTTGTGCATTGGGCCAGCTAATTCCTTTAGAATGTTTACTTCTTTCTCATTGTGTGCAAAACTCTACTTAAGTGTAGTTTCTCTTTAAGATCTCTTGTTCTAAGATTTTATTAGTATTTTTATTTTGTCACTTTTCATATTGGCAGATAATTTGGCTTCAGTTTGAATGTTTCAGTCCATTTCATTTTTTAAAAAGTTTTATTTAATTATGTATAAAACATAGTGGCCTTCTGTTAGTATAGAGTATTAAATAAGATTGTGATCTGCTGTTTTGTAATGTGCAATCAGATCAGTCTCTTTCAGAGTGACAGCATTTTTGCTTTAAATTGATTAAAAGCATTGTGTAAAAATAAAAATGCCAAAAATTAAACATGAAATCAAAATGAAGTATATTCAAAGTATTTTCTTAATTTTTATATATTATAGGAGATGAGAATGAATATGGAAAATTTAGTTAAGAGTGAAGATACTCTACATTCAGAGGTGAGAAGAAAAAGTCATTCTATGTTATGTGAAATGAATTGAGCATCCTAGAATGTAAAGCTTAATTTTGATGCACAAGTAGCTAAATTTTTAGCAAGTGTATAAAACTGATAGACCATATATATTTTCTAGTAATAGCAAGTCACAATTAATGTGCTTTGAAGCAAAATCTCACTGTGGGTAAAAATTGGACATTCAGTTTGTGTTTGCAGTTTAAAAAACTAGACCATCCTGAGATATTGAAGCTACTGTCCACATAATTACTTACAATTATTTTAAATTTCTGCCGGTATTTTTAAACTAAGTTTTAGCATTTATTACCAGAATTCTCTTGTCATTAACAGAAATTGGTTATTTCCACTAATTAATAATGTTGAATTTTGATGTTATAATCAGAAATTTTAAAATCATTATTGAAAGAAAAGTAATGTATTAATTTTGAAATCATTTAAATGTAAAAGTGAATTTTATGATTGTAGGAAGCAACACCAGACTCAGGCAAAACACTAGCTGAAATCAGTGATCGTTATGGAGCACCTAACTTGAGCAGAGTGGAAGAACTTGATGAACCAATGTTTTCTGATGTCAGTATCAGCATGTTTTTTAAAAAACTTTTTCATTATTTTGTATTTTTTACTTAGGTAAAGCCTAGGGAAAATGAGGCTAGTCCAGGATTGGTTGGCAAATGGTTCTTTTGCTTCAGAGAAAGAAAACCAGTTCCTTGGTTGCCAATTATATTCCTAATTGGCATTCTGCCCTTTTGTGAAGTGTGTCACTGGCTTATCTATATCTCTATATTTGTAGCTGTGACCTCAAAACCTCTTCTAAATATTTTAAAAATCATTTTGTGAAATACATAATCTTTAAACTTGGTGTGAGAGGCACCATTTTGGTTCTCAGTAGCAAACCCTGGAACCAAATGAATGTCCTAATGAGAGTGCATGTTTCCCAGTATGTAAGTACATTTGTTTATTTAACAAACATACCACGTCTTCCATATGTCAGGCACTGGGCCCGATGCTGTGGTGAATAAGGCAGGGGAGAAACAGACAATTAGATGAGCATTTAATAGTTATCGTTACTGGGACCACGTAATTTATTGTGCAAACCAGTATGCTTTTGAGAATGACAGTTGTATCAGCACATGTAAGCCAGGACTGTCCTGGCAGAAGGGTACATTTGGTCACTTTAATTGGTGTACACTGAGAATGGGGGGACAGCCAGCACAGTTGAAGAACCTCAGTCAGGGAAGGAAGCTAATGATTTGCTACTCAGTGGTGGCGTGGGAAGCTGAGGATACTGCTCCGGGCAGAGAACACAGAAAGCATGAAGAAAGCCCAGCTAGAAGACAGTGTAGAGAGAGTGAGCAGGAAAGGGACAGAGATGAGGCCAGGGAGAAGGCAGGGGCCAGACCATGAAAGCAGTTGTCATTTCTGCTTGGAGGCTTAGATTTTATCCTGAAGGCAGTGAAGGCTCATATAATGAGAATTGCATTTTGCAAAGACCATCTGGCAACAGTATGGGGAAGAAAATGGAGAAGTAGGTGTCAGGAGATGGCTTAGGAGGTAGTAATCTAGGGGACAAGATGTCGATGGCCTGAAATAAACGTTATTTTTGAGAGCTGTTCAGAAAGTGGAGCTGCACAGACTCAGTGCTGATTGTTTAAAGCTTTATTAAGTGTCAACTATGATTTGGCACTACGTAGGGAGCTGGAAAATGCCAATGAACAAAATGGATCGGGCTTCTGCCCTTTGGGGACCATGGGCCAATGGGGAAGGTTCTTTGAGGGACAGAGTAGGAAGAGACCTGACCTGGGCTGGACAAGTCTTCCTAAGGAGATGAAGTTCAAGAAATTAGCCTGAGATGAGCCCAGAAGAAAGAGACAGCAAGATGCTTTCAAGGGACTGAAGTCGTTCGGGTAAGGTGCATGGAGCTGGGAAAATGGTGTGATTTTAAGCTGGAGAGGTGGATAAAGCACACAGGGTCCTGTATATTATCTTAGGGATTTTGGACTTCCGTGCAGTGGGAGTTATTGAAAGGACTTAAAGCTTCAATCTGTGTTTTTATAAGGTGGAGAGAGGATTGGAGTGGAGCAGGAGTGGAAAAAGGGAGACCACTTAGGAAGCTGTTGCACTGATCCAGATGTAAGATGACTAGGGTTAGACAGCAGAGATGGAAGGAACTGAGTGAATTTGAGATTGGCTCACAGGGTCAGTGGGACGGGGCGGGGTCAGGATGAAGCCTAAATGTCTTCCTTGGGCAACCGAGTTGAGAGTGTTACCACTTGATGAGTTGATGAACATAAGAGAAATCAGGTTTTTTAAAAATGATGGCTTTGGTTGCAGAGATGTTGACTTTCAGGTGGCTCCGAGATATGCAGGTGAAAATAGCCAAAGGACAGTTGATGTTAGGAAAGGGGCCCAGGACGGAGATGTAAATTCAGCTGTCATGGGCATATGTGCTGAACCAAGCAAGGGGAGTGAGGAAGGTACTAGGATAGCGTGCAGTGTGTGAAGGTCTGGGGTCTCAGGGAGGGACCATTAGCAATTCCAGCACTTAAGGGATGGCCACAGGAAGTGGACCCTACAAGACAGATGAGAACACATAGTAAGAAGTAGAAGAAATGATGGGACAGTAACTACCCTGAGAACACAATCTATGGTTATATTTGAATATCATTTGAAATCATCTGAAACTCCCCAAAAGCTTCATTCATGTGACTGCATAGTCACATATAAGTTACCTAAACTTTATGTCTTTGGCTTGTGCTTTTTCACAGTTCTAATTGTATTGAAGCATACTTACTTTTTTGTTTTGCTTTCAGGTTGCATTAAACATGGATCAAGATTTGTAGGATCAACCAACCTAAGAGCAATAAATGTTTTTGTTGGTTTCAAATTTCAAATCATGAGGTTCCCAATTTGTATTTCTTTTTCCTTCAAACTTGAACTCTACTTTTATTTTTCCTCTAAGGACAGTTTATGAATGAGCTTCAAGAGTAGCCTCAAAGTGCTATTTTGGATCTGTCAATTCAACTGATTATTTATATGATTCCATTGGGAAAATAGGAGAGTTTGCTGAAGCAACCAAAAGAGGCAAATGTGAGGTGAGCTGAAATAACATGTGCGTCTATGCAAAAGCAAGACTGCCTGAAAAGGAAGTTGCTGTCCGGGCATGATGGCTCACGCCTGTAATCCCTCTCAGCTCTTTGGGAGGCAGAGGCAGGTGGATCACTTGAGGTCAGGAGTTTGAGACCAGCCTGGCCAACATGGTGAAACCCCATCTCTACTAAAAATACAAAAGAAAATTAGTCAGGTATGGTGGTGGGCATCTGTAATCCCAGCTACTCAGGAGGCTGATGCAGGAGAATTGCTTGAACCCAGGAGGCAGAGGTTGCAGTGAGCCGAGATCATACCACTACACTACAGCCTGGGCAGCAGAGTAAACCTCCCATCTCAAGAAAAAAAAGAAAGTTGCTGGTCTGGGAGAAGTGGGTGAGGCTGCCACTGTGCAGAGCTCAGGAGGGTGTGCAACATGCTCTAGATATGACATCTCCTCCTGGGAGTGAAGCGCAGAGCTCTCCCCAGTTTGCTGGGAGCTGATGTTTCATAGAACCACTTATAAGCCACACTTCTATGATGCGGTTGGGATGGGGAAAGGAGTGTTTCATTACTGTCCTGGTGGGGAATTTCCTCCAGCTTAGCCTGTTCCTCCACACCCAGGAATAGATATGAGGGACTTCCTCTTCCTCACCTCTCTGCCCAGCTGGGTGTCCAGATTCCTGTCTTTCTCTTTGGGATTTATAAAGTCCAGGGATATTGCAGGATGTGTTCACATACAGTGAATTGAATGGGATGAAACAAAGTTCTGGGGTGCAAAGAAGTATCATGTCTGCTGGCTCAATCAGTGAGCTCAAATATTGGGGCAACTGTTGGTGAGAAGATCTGACTGGTTGCAGGCCACAAACTCCTGGCCCCTTTGATGTTTCAGGTCTATTCTTAGACTCTGGAGAGAACCTTATTTCCTTTACATAATTCCTCCAAATCTATTATGTGAGTCCTTTCTGTTCTTAAGGACATAGGTGTAAAAACACAAATGCCAAGAGAGACTCCTTTTTAAAAAAAAAAAATTCTATTTTGGCTTATAATATACTTTTCCTGAGGTAATGAATACAGAATGCTCTATTTGCTTAAATGATGCTGTGGTTTGAATGTGTCCCCCTCCCTTCCAAAATACAACTGTGTTGAGAGGTGAGACCTTTAAGAGGTGATTAGTTCATGAAGGCTCTGCCACCATAAATGGATGAATGCCATTGCCACATAAGTGGGTTAGTTACGCTAAGAGTGGGCTTGTTACAAAAGTAAGTTTGGCCCCCTCTTGCTCTCTTGCATTCTCTTGCCCTTCCACCTTCAGCCATGGAGTGACACAGCAAGAAGGCCCTCACCAGCTGCAGGCCCCTTGACTTGGACTTCCCAACCTCCAAAACTGTAAGAAATCAGTGTATTTATTACCATTCTGTTATAGAAATACAAAATGGACTAAGACAAATAGGTAGAGATAAAAAGATAAATTATGGGAAAAATATTAGTTTCATTAAATATGTTATTCTATCATACCAGTTCTGTACATTTTTGAGAAAAACTTTCAGGTCCCCTAGAGAGATAGATGACTTCTGTGTGAATTCAGTTGCCAGGCACTGTGCCCCCAGCATGGATGCCTGCATTCACATCTACCCAGGCAACAGTGTCCAAGGGAAACAAGGAGCAGAGTGTCCTTCCAGGCCCTGGTTCATCCCAAAGGGCACCATCATGGAGGCCTGTGAATAAAAGGCAGACTCAAAGAGCTTTGGGCCCAGCACAGCCTATGACAGTTTCCAGGGGGTGTGGCTTGGAGGTGAATTTGGTAGCAAAAGTCTCTGTGTGTCAGCTAGTCACAGCGTGAAATGCTGTGGTTCTAAGAAAGGTATAGTCTTGTTAAGTACTCCTATCCAGAGCTAGGCACAAGAGGGAGGAGGTAGGAGAGGGTCCTGTCCTTGCAGGGAGATGACTCTCAAATAGAGCTGCTACCCTGAGCTATATCTCAGTCCTAGAGGGTCTTGCTGATAGCAGCAGTACCCATTTTAGACCCACCAAGTGGTAGGGATGGAAATGGTTCCTATTTTGACAAACTTTCTGTTGCTGGATGACATCCTAGGCTCAATTGACATTCTAGATTTTACTGCTGAACTGGTCCTGAGGAAGGCAAAGATTCCAGAAGAGGGAATGGATGAAAGCATGGGGAGATATCAAGCTTGTCAACATAGGTAATTAAGTTTTCTCCTCGTTAAAGATGAGACCATTAAAATATGTGTGCATCAAACACACATTTTCCTTCAATCTTTCTTTAAATTACCTTTTAATTTTTGAGGGTACAAAGTAGGTGTATGTATTTGTGGGTTACATGAGATGTTTTGATACAAGCATGCAATGCATAATAATCACATCAAGGTAAGTGGGATATTCATCACCTCCAGCCTTTATCCTTTGTGTTACAAACAATCCAGTTATACTCTTTTAGTCCTTTTAAAATGTATAATTAAATTAATTTTTACTATAGTCACCCTGTTGTGCTATCAAATACTACTAGGTCTTATTCATTCTTTCTATTTTTGTACCCATCAACCACCCCCACTTTTCCACCCCCCACTATCCATCCCAGCCTCCAGTAAACATCCATCCTCCTACTCTGTAGTTCCATAAGTTTGTTTTCAATTTTAGCTCCCACGAATAAGTGAGAACGTGAAGTTTTGTTTTTCTGTGTTTGGATTATTTCATTTAACATATTGACCTCCAGTTCTATCCATGTTGTTGCAAGTGACAGAATCTTATTTTCTTACGGCTGAATAGTACTCCATTGTGTATATGTACCACATTTTCTTCATCCATTCATCTGTTGATGGACATTTAGGTTGCTTCCAAATCTTGGCTATTGTGAATAGTACTCCAGTAAACATGGCAGTGCAGATATTTCCTCAACATACTGATATATTTCCTTTTACATATGTATGTAAAGAGTGGGATTGCTGGATTGTATCGTAGCTCTTTTCAGTTTTTTGAGAAACCTCCAAATTGTTCTCCATAGTGGTTGTACTAATTTACATTCCCACCAGCAGTATATTGGGGTTCCCTTTTCTCCACATCTTCTCTAGCATTTGTTATTGCCTGTCTTTTGGATAAAAGCCATTTTAACTAGGGTGAGATATCTCATTTAACTGGGGTGAGTTTTGATTTGCATTTCTGTGATGATCAATAATGTTGAACACCTTTTTATATACATGTTTGCCCTTTATATGGCTTCTCTTGAGAAATGACTATTTAGATCTTTATCCAGTTTTTAACTGAATAATTAGTTTCTCCTGTAGAATTGTTTGGGCTCTTTATATATTGTGCTTATTCATCCTTTGTCAAATGAGCAGTTTGCAAATATTTTCTTTCATTCTGTGGGTTGTCTCTTCACTTTGTTAATTGTTTCCTTTGCTGTACAGCAGCTTTTTAACTTAATTTGATCCCATTTGTCCATTTTTGCTTTAGTGCCTGTGCTTGTAGGGTATTACTCAATAAATCTTTGCCCACTCCAATGTCCTGGAGAGTTTCCCCAATGTTTTCTTTCAGTTGTTTCATAGTTTAAGGTTTTAGATTTAAGCTTTTAATCAATTTTGATTTGGTTTTTGTATATGGTGAGAGATAGGGGTCTAGTTTCATTCTTCTGTGTATGGATATCCAGTTTCTCCAGCACTATTTATTGAAGAGAATATATGTATGATCTTGGTACCTTTGTCAAAAGTGAACTCACTGTAGATATATGGTTTTATTTCTAGGTTCTCTATTTTGTTACACTGGTCTGTGTGTCTGCTTTCATGCCAGTACCATGCCATTTTGGTTACTATAGCTCTGTAGTATAATTTGAAACCAGGTAATGTAATTCCTTCACTTTTTTTTTTCCTGAGTCTTTTGTGATTCCATAAACATTTTAGGATTGTTTTTCTATTTCTGTGAAGAATGTCCTTGGTATTTTCATAGGAATTGGATTGAATATGTAGATTCCTTTTGGTAGTGTGGACATTTTAACAGCATTGATTCTTTTAATCCATGAACATAGAATAGTTTCCTATTTTTTGGTGTCCTCATCAATTTCTTGCATCAGTGTTTTATAATTTTCATTGTAGAGATCGTCTACTTCTTTAATTAATTCCTAGGTATTTTATTTTATTTGTAGCTATTGTAAATGGAATTACTTTGTTGATTTCTTTTTCAGTTTGTTCACTGTTGGCATATAGAGATGCTGTTGATTTTTGTATGCTGATTTTGCATTCTGCAAGTTTACTGAATTTATGAGTTCTAATAGTTTTTTGTGGCATCTAAGTTTTTCCAAATATAAGATTATATCATCTGCAAACAAGGATAAGTTGACTTCTTTCTTTCCAATTTAAATGCCCTTTATTTCTTTCTTGTCAAATTTATCTAGCTAAAACTTCCAGTACTATTTGGATAACGGTGGTGAAAGTGGGCATCCTTGTCCTGTTCCAGATCTTAGAGGAAAGGCTTTCAGTGTTTCCTCATTCAATATGATACCAGCTATGGGTCTATCATATATGGCTTTTATTATGTTGAGGTATGGTCTTCTTATACCTAGTTTTTTGAGGGTTTTTATCGTGAAAGGATGTTGAATTTTATTGAGTGCTTTTTCAGCATTAATTGAAATGATTATATGGTTTTGTCTTTCATTCTGTTGATATGATGTGTCACATGGATTCATTTGCATATATTGAATTATCCTTGCATCTTGGCATAAATCTTACTTGGTCACGATGAATGACTTTTTTTTAAATGTGTTGTTGAATTCAGTTTGCAAGTATTTTCTTGAAGATTTTTGCATTAATATTCATCAGTGATATTGGCCTGTTATTTTCTTTTTTTGATGTGTCTTTTTCTGGCTTTGGTATCCAGGTAATACTGGCTTAGTAGAATGAGTTTGGAAGTATTTCTTCCTCCTCTATTTTTTAGGATAGTTTGAGTAGGACTGGTATTAGTTCTTCCTTAAATGTTTGGTAGAATTCAGCAG